ATGGTAGATGTGACATTGTGCCAAACTTCATTGGCAGACCTTACTATGTTCCCTTTGTTCCCTTGTTCTTGGAGTTGGAGTCATTAGCAAAGTAGTAAATAAAGCTGCATTTGATGTATGTTGTTGGCATTTCTTAGTACAATCACCAGGTGAGGAAGTTTTCAGTCCATCCCCGGCAACGACGCTAGAAATGCTTGTTGGCATTTCTTATCACAATCTCCAAGTGAGGAGGTTTTAAGTCCATCACCGGTAACGGTGCCAGAAATGCCTGTTGGTATTTCTTAACACCATTACTAATATTGAGTTAATATTAGCAACGCCGCCAAGAAACACCAACTACGATAGTCCTTAAAGATTATAGACAATATCCACAAGCGTACGGATCTATCGTTGTAGCATTTTACCTGGAAGTATTTAGGGTATTGTTATTTATATTTTCCAAAAGGAGGCCAAGGTATGCAGATTCTAGCATGAGCATGATCAAGATTACATACTTGCATAAGTAAACCAATAGTTCATGACAGGGGTAAAAACGGTATATCAAGGATAGTGGACACACATCTGGGCTAACCTCAGGGATAAAAGAAAAACAAAGAATAAAAGAATGTTCCTAAGTGGAGCCGGCATGTTCTAATATAGCCGTGCAATGAACAGTTAATGTTCATACATGTTATATGACTAGAGTTAGAGCTAAGTTTGAGATAGACAGGGAGATCCCTGGGCATTGGTCTGCCAAGCCATAGAGACTTTATGAACTCCTACATGAATACCCGAATGTGGGGGATTACAAGGGACAGACATGGTTGTCAGCACCTGCCGCCTACCCCTAAACCGTGGGGCACCGTCATATCCAAAGGTTCCCGTGCACCCGAGCACCACAACTGTGTACAAGGAAACTATCCATATCCCCTCGGGACTCCGACCCTATGGATCGACAAGCAAGAATATGGGCAAACTTGAAGGAACGATGAACCATCACCTCAACCCTAGTTCCACTTCTACTCATACAAGTCATAGGAATGTTGAGGCATGAAGTTGAATATGTTAAGATCATGACACCCAAACTATATACTAGTTCATATATCATGATTATAACATGAGAACTATAATGTAGTTCATATGCACTACTATATAAAGGATATGAGAGCATGAATATGGAAGAACTCTTCATAGTATTATTCATACCAAAGTTTCTCTTCTTCCAAGGAGACAAGCTCTCCAAGTAGCTTTGCTAGCTCCAAATACTACTAAAAACTAAAGCTAAAGAGTACAAGAGTAGGGTAGTGAGGTGTAGCTCCAAATGATTGTGTGTGTGAGAGGTGAGCTCTAGCCCTCTGTATATAGTGATACATCATTAGTTTCGGTGCTAGTAAATTAGGAAACCTCCGTGGACCGCCTCTGCATGGTGGCATGCAACCGCCATAGAAGAGTGGTACCGAGAGGAGGCGGTGGAGATGCGGCCGCACCCAGGGTGCGCCCACACCCTGGTGGGCCTGCCTCACGACTGCCTTCATCTGGTCGGTTCCTAGGTGGGCCTAGACCCTGTCCACGGTGGTATTCTGCCCTGGTAAATTGTGTAGGTGGGCTTTCTCCATTTCTTTCATTCGCGCATTTCTGCTTTATGCTTTCTATTTACGCCTTTTGCTTGATTTTATTCATTTTCCGCTTGTATTTGAATGTGTCCTGCAAAACATGTTTTCTCCAATACAAGTGGAACTAGGTTAATAGTACATGCATATGTGTCAAAAGTATGTTTATTTCTCTTGTTTTGGATAATAATTGGCGGTCGAATGTTGTCATTAGTGACCGCCAACAAATCCCCCAAGCTTAACCTTTGCTAAGTATTTGGTTGTTGATCAGGAGTTGCTACTATGTTGATACAATTCACAAGAGCCATGTCTATAACAAAGCATTCTTCTGTGATTTAAATAAGTTGGCATTTTATCCACCCTTTACCTTGATCCCTGTGGGGCGTATAACTTTTCCAAGTTCTTGGGAGGTTGCAAGAAAGAACGGTTGTCACTACACCATTACACACATTTGCCTACAGTTATGTGTTGGCAAAAGGTGGGTTTCAACTACATATTATGTGTTGGCAAATGTGTAACTTTTTAACATCAAATGATGTGTCGACAATAAGGTTATAGGACCACACGCTATCTGTCGGCGTTTTTCTGCTGGTTGAAAAACTATCGGCGAAAATTTCTAGACTATTTAAGTGTCGGTGTTGCCTAAACGAAACCACGGTACAAGTGTCGGCGAAGGACTACCCAGGGTGAATGTCATTCCCGCGCAGGCACAGAAAACATCCCACCGACACGACCTATACACACAAAAAAAAGTCCCCACGCTCATTGCCCCCAATCGTCCGCTGCCCCCATGCCTGTCAACCCACACCGCTGCCCCTACCTTTTGCCGCTGGGGATGGTGGCCGGGGGCACCTGCCGTGTGGTTCTCGCCCGTGCAGCAACCTGCACCAGGTCTGGGAGCACCTCCCTCGCCGTCGCCGCCTCGCGTGGCTGAGTCCGTCGGACGCCGCAGCCAATGGCGCACCACCAACCCTAGCCGCCGCGCCCCCTCCCCTTCCCTCCCCTCTGCCACTACGCCGCCGGTGGAGCAGGCCACCCGGGATGGCGGCGGCGGGACCCTCCTCTCATCTAGTGGAGTGGCAGCACGGGATGACGTGGGTCGGCGGGCGTCGCCTCGCCCGTGCCACGTGGGGCTCGACGAGGCCGCCTGGCTATGACTGCGATGGCGCCAGCCAGAGGCCTGGGCAGGCACAGGGTGGTGGTGACGGCGGTGGGCTTCTCTTCCACTTCTTCCCCTTCGTTGTCCCCTTTCCTCCTCGCATGATGGCTTCAACGGGGCCGGCCTGGGCTGCTCCAGGGCCTAGGCTGGCAGATCCGGTGTTCTGGTGGCCAGATCTGTCACCCCTAGGTTAGGGGGCAGTGCCGACGATGGCGAGGCAGTGGAGTGGAGAGGGGCCAGCGGTGGAGTGACTCGTCCACCCATGTCGCACCTTGAGGATGATGCAGTGGCTGTGTCAGTCTCACGCAGTAGGCAGCCATAGCGAACGCGGGACCAAGAAGAGGGTCTTCCACGCCAAGCAACGGTGAGGCTATCCCTAATCTGATTTTTCCCCTTCTGTTCTCAGTAAACGTGATTCCAGGGGAGAAATTGTCTGAGGCTTATTTGACACTATGGTAATAAAACATGCCTTTCTTTTCATAGGTCAATAGGTTCATATATTTTGAGTTGTGATGTTCATGTATCGAGTACACAACCATGCTAAAACGTTCCAAGATCATTCTAGTTGGTAGAAAACTTAATGGAAATTCATCATATCTGCCCTGCGAGCTAAATTTTTAGGGCTTCCAAACCACCTAGAAATTGGTTACAGATTCTAGATTACTGTTTGGTGATATTGGAACTAGAACTCTAATCTGGCTTGTAGCTCCTCAAGTCATTTGAAGAAACAGTAGTTTAGCAAAGGCTAGATTTTTTTTTGTTGAATCAATTTTGATATCGGAAGATTTGTGCAATTAAAATTTTAAAATGGACAATGTATAGAGTCAGCAGGTTAGTTTAGCTATGCAGGCATGCCATTGCAAACACATAATTGTAGTGAAGCATCAAATTTAACCAAAACATGTACGATAAACTTGCTGTAGCTTACCTATGCCAATGATCATAATATTTCGGTCACTGCAAGCAATATTGAGTTCAAAGGAACTTTCCTAGTTTTCATTTTATAAAATGTCGAGATGTCATATCAATTAAATGAAATGGAGTTGCCATTTCATAATCACAACTTCTCCCATGGTATCACCACTTATCACTTTTGCAGTACTTTCCATAATGAAACAGAGCATCTGTCTGCATGACTATTGCTACGTTTTGATGGTTCTTGTGAGTTCATTTCATAGCAGGAAAATGCAGTACCAAGCTTTTTTCAGCGTGGAAGGGTGCTCTTTTTATCAGCGTTGTTTCTGAAAGTACTGTCCGCTCTTGTTAGTTGATCCACTCTTGTTGATTTGTTCAACTGATTTTGCCTTTCTGCTTTTATACCAGCTTATCTGTCTGTCATATTTGGAGTATGACTATATCAACCCATATGATTCGTCATCTCGCATCAATGCTGTGGTGTTGATAGAATACACACTCCAAGGGGCCCTATGTGCTTCTTTCCTCTTGACATTGCATTGGTTCCCGTTTCTAGTCATGGCACCAGTGACATACTACCATGTGAAACTGTACGTGTTACTTTCACTTGATGTTAATTATAATAGAATATTCATATTATTCATCATTGGATACTATGCTGTTCATACTTTTGGCTGCACTCACATCTTGATTATTTTTATATACATGGAAATAATACTTGAGATGATCTACAAGCCTCAATGGCTCAATGGAACAGCTAAGTAAGAACATATCAATTTTAGAATTTAGGGATGGCGATGTTGTGCTTCTAGGGTGATAATTTGTAGTTTTCCACAAGTTCTGGGCCATGTGTTTTTTGTTTGGTCCAGTAGCAATTCCTTCTCTGAAAATGGGAGAATATTGGTCAGGGACTCAGGGTATTAGCAAATGGGAGAAGGTAGTGCACCTGTTCTAGTATTATACCTTCCCAATTTTATAAGCCTCACTACCAAAATTTGTTAGCTAGTTAATTTTCATTAGTGCTGGAATATGAGGGCAACAACTCTGAATCACGCTATGTGCACTTTATTTGCCAAGATAAATAGTTTCCTTTTTATCAGTATGTGCTAGAAAAGAATCATTAAGTAATATTTTGTTGTAATTATTTAGTAATCAGCATGAACTGTTGATTCCAAATATTGTTGGCTTAACAATGATTAACGAAAATGATTCTTAGTTTGTTCTGGTAGGATACAACTATAATGTAGCTGAACTCTTCTCTTGAAGGTATGAGCTTGGGCGCCAGCCGGCCAACACCAAGTTGTCAAGCAACAAGACAGTGAGGAGGGTTCGTGTTCATGGAGGAATGTGAAGTGGAGGGCTCTTCGCCTAGATACGTGGTCTACAATGCATCAAACAATGAACTTGTGAGGACTCAAACCCTTGTGAAGAGTGCCATTGTGCAAGTTGATGCTGCCCCATTCAAGCAGTGGTACCTCACTCACTATGGAGTTGACATCTGTAGGAAGAAAAAGGCTCCTGCTACAAAGAAGGAATCTGCTGAGGTATTATTTCTTGCAACACAGCGTCTCACTATTTACTATTAAATGTTTTTAATAAGGGATTGGCTTCATAGTTCATACATCATGTTTTGTAGCTAGCAAATATTAGCTCTTTCTGTTCTCTCTTTTAAAGACAACTGACTCACCTCATTCTTGTATGTTTATATTGTCTACTCCTGTGCCTTGCAGATTCTTAGAGAACTCTTCTTTTCTTATCCATGTTTCACATTTGAATTGCATGTTTTTGCACTATGAGTTTTAGATTTCTGTATGGAAAATGTTAAATTTGATTGTTTTTATAAATATATTTTGCTTGAAGTATTTCCATAAAGCAGAGATCTATAGTTAATTAGTTTTCTATCTTTAGTGTCTGTTATGTTTCCTCTGGTGGATCACTTATTGTTTGAGATTCATTCATCCAGGGACAAGAGGGTGATGCAGCAGCTGAGGAAACAAAGAAGAGCAACCATGTCAAGAGGAAGCTTGAGGAGCATCAGAAGGGACGTGAGCTTGACGCTCACATTGAAGAGCAATTTGGCAGTGGAAGCTTGTTGGCGTGCATTTCTTCCCGCCCTGGACAGTGTGGCCGAGCTGATGGGTAAGAAATAATGGACTTCCACCAGACTTTCTTTGTTTTTGTTAGAGCAGCTTATCTGTTTGTGTACCATTTAACTTTTGTAGCTTAAAGCTTAATGTTTGTTTATACTCTTTATGTTACAATCACTGTGAGTCTAGACATTTTAGATATGTTGGCAGCTGTCACAAATTTATCCTTCTAGGCTTCAAGTAGAATGGAAGTTGTCTCCTTATTTTCACTTATATCTTATATTGTAGGCAGCTCCTTACAATACACTTTTCTTTTTTGTATAACAGGTACATCCTTGAGGGTAAAGAGCTTGAGTTCTACATGAAGAAGCTTCAGCACAAGAAGGGCAAGGAAGCTGCAGCTTAGAGCATTCTCATGGATGGTCCTCCGCGGAAATGTGTGGCCTATTAAATAATACTCTGGCTTTTTTTGTTAGTCGTCTCAAGTTCAGAACGTCTATGTCATGTATTGCAGACCTGATGAGAACACTGTTTTTCGAAAATGAATCAACTCTATCTAGCTCCTAAGAATTGAGATTTTCCATCTATATGAATAATAGTGGATTTGTCAAATTATTCAAATTGTATTTATATCTATATCTGCAGTATAGTTTTGCCGATAGTTTAGTTGTTGGACAGGGCATGATTCACAAAATACCTTGAAAATGGTTTCGCCAACACACAAACTATCGGGAAAGGTTCAAACTATCGGTGTTGGTCTTAACTGTCGGCAAAGGGTTAACTGTCGGCAAAGGTTTCAACTGTCGGCGTAGGTCCACCATTTGGCAACACAAAAAGTGTCGGCGATTCCTTTAACTGTCGGCGAAAGTTTCGCCCATGACTTACAGCGCGATTGTTTCTAAATTGTCGGCAAAACCTTTCGCGAGAGGTTACCTGTCGGGAAAGGTACCCTTTGTCCACTATAAAAAGTGTCGGCAAAGGTATGTTGTGTTATATTGTGTAACAGAATCACCAATCATTCATTCCTCGATTAACAATTTATCGAGAGGTTTTATAAGTTTTACAAAATAAATGTAAGTTCCTCAAATGATTCTCTCGATCGCTCAATGTGTATAAAACCTCATCAAGGCATTTTATATTTTGCCTTCTTTTCATATCCTACCACTAAAGGCTTTGAGTGGAGTATTGGGTAGGTATGAAAGTGGGGCATACTTGCATCACATATTTTGTTAAGTCAAAGACCAGACCTCAAGGAGATGCAAGTCATACACTTTGATCAAGACGTGCAAGTGTGTGGAATTTTCATAAAGTCCTAATTCTAAATATTTTTGGTACTCCCTTGAATCATGACTTTCTCTCTTTTTTATGAATGCCTTTTATTTGAAAGTATGGGCTATCTTTATTTCTTTCTTTCTTTTTCCTTTCTTTTCCTCATGCTCTTTGGCATGCATTTTTTTTCTCTCATGCCTTTTGGCTTGGATTTTTTTCTTTTCTCTTTTTTTAGCATAGCCCATATCCTTCTTTTTGGCACATGAAATTTTTGAGAGAGAGACACATGATAAAGTGAATGGAGTAATTATTTGGTGGACAGAAAAAGCATGTTTTTGCGTAACTCTTGATATAAGAGTTAGTAGTTTATTTGTGGGTGTACGTGAGTCTTGTCATGGGTGCATGACGAGAATCTCAACAAGGGTCACAATAATTTAACAAAACTCAATATAATAACAAGTAGCATATGAATAAGATTTGAATTTGAATATCATGTCATATGGCCTTGGTAGGTATTCATAATCATTGAGGAACTTTTGCATTTTAGCATTTTTGAAAATGAAATCTCTGGATGTCAAGTTTCTCTTAGAATAAAGTCATAGTAAATTCTATTTGTACCATATCATAACTCACAACAACTTAGAAAATGAGCATGCATTTGCAAACCTACAAGTTTTCAGGATAAGACATTTTTAGCCAACAAACTTAAATCTTGGGGAATACTAAGTTATAACCTAGGCACATATGAATTATAAATAGAGCAATTATTCATCATTTCAACATAGAAGAAACTAAACATTCTTAAAACACATATGAGAGTGGAATTCATATTTTTGGTATTTTTATCATATTTTATTTTGTTGGTATTTTTAATTTTTTTAGATTTTTTTATATGCTACTAAATAATAAATGCAAAAAATAAATGCAAGAATTTAAAAATGTGAAAAAGATACAAGGTACCTCTATGGGGGTCCTCCCCCAACCTAGCTTTAGGCCTATGATCCGGGATGCTTGGTGATGACTCTGTGGTACATTATTTGTTTTATTGCATATTTTTTTTTTACTTTTAACTCATCCATGTCTATACTCAGTAGTTTTAGTTCAATGATCAAACTAGTTTTCATTTTAATCAAGGTAGGCTAAACAACCTAAGCACCATGCTTAATTTGAAAATCCTATGAAAGTATGATCGCTATAAATCATACCCCAAACCATAACATGCTTTGTATGGAACAAGGTGAGTTTTATTCTAGAGGGTGAACTAATTGTTTTTATTTTTGGCATAATTTAAAGCATGATCTATAGTTTTATTATATAAGAATTTTAAGCAACTTTTTATTAAGCAAAGTACAAAAGATAACTACTGATTTACCTTCTGCAATGGCTCACTATTTAGAGTCCAATGAGTAGGACTTCTCTCCCTTCATTTCTTGCTTGAGGATGGTACATCCATGCTCGGGGGAGTAGACTCGGATGGTTGCACCTTCTTTGGTTTCCACACCATTTTGTTGGTTTTTGGTGGTGGACTTTTTTGTTTCCACACTTTTTTCCTTCTTTGGTGGTGTGGGAACAACCTTTGGAATCTCTTTCTTTTTCTTTGGGTTGTTTTTCTTTGGCTCCGGCCACTTTTTATTTTCTTTATTTTTCTTGACAAGGCTGTCCACCAGTTGAGGTTGAATTTTGACCTCCTTTTTGCCTTGTGGGTTCGGCCCATACTTGATTCTTATCATGGAGCATTGCTCCTGCCTAGGCCAAAAGTCAAACTTTTCCTCTTTGTCGTTGATGTTGAAGCGGATTTCTCTAGCTCCAACATCAATCTATGCTCCCGCGGTGCTGAGGAATGGTTGCCCAAGGATGAGCAGTGATTCCTTCGTTGTTTTCATGTCCAGCACCACAAAGTCTATTGGGACAAAGTAACCCTGGATTTTCATCAGGATATCTTCGACAATCCCTGCTGGGTAGCGGACCATGGAATCGGCCAGCTGGAGCATCATCGGTTGCTACCCAGCAGGGATTGTCCAGCAGCTGATGGAAAAGTCGCACAGGGCATGATCAAATTGCTGGGTGCCGATTGAACATGTGATAGTGGGGCACCCAGGGTCCTTCTTCTCAGGTAGACAATTGAGTATAGCAGCACTACACTTTTCCATCAGCTTGACAACCTCCGTGGATGGCAATGGCTGTTTATTATTGATGATGTCCTTGATGTATTTTGCATAAGAAGGCACATGTAAGATGTCTATTAGTGGAATGCTCACATGTATCTTCTCTATCATTTCCACAAAACGAGCGAACTGCTCGTCCATGGCCTGCTTCCTGTTTCTTGTGGGAAACGGCAAATAACTGGTGTCGACGAAGTCTTGCGGTGTCGTTTCCTCCTCTTCTTCTTGATCTTTTTGTGTTTTTGTTGATGGTGCAGGCTCTTCTTCTTGTTGTCTTTGTGCCTTTCTTGTTTTATGGTTAGGGTTTGGTGGATCACGAGTGGACTTACCACCCCTTGTGGTCACCGCATTAACTTTTTCAAAAGAATTCTCGGGTTGCCCCGGGATTTTCCCATCATTATTAACAGGAATAGAGGTAGCAATTTGAGCTAACTTTGTCTCTATCATTTTATTAAAACTCAATTGATTTTTGACAGAAGAAGATAGACCATCAATTTTAGAGTTAATGTTTTCTAGCATTTTATCATTAGAAGTTAGATTTTTAGTAAGATTTTCATTAATTTTTGCTTGACCTAGCACTTGGTCTTTTAAGGAAGGTTGGTTCGAGTTGAAATTTGAATTGAAGTTCAAATTACCTCCTTGTGGGTGGGATTGATTGTTCCACCCGTTATTGTTTTGTTGGCGAAACATGTTGTTGATGTATGAAGCTTCTTCACGGGTCTCGAGGCAGTCATTCCCTAAGTAGCCAACTTCACCACAGACCTCACACGTCATGTGTGTGTCCATGGCCTAGACGGTGCCTTTCATGGCTTCCTTCTCGACCGCATGATTGTCCAGTCTTTTCATCAATAAGTCTGTTTTTGTGGCAAGCATAGCGGACGATGAAGCGACAAACAATCCAAACACCGAGGAGTCCCTAGCTGAGCTGGTGAGCCCCTAGTGTAGTGGACGATGAAGTGATGAACAATCCGAACGCCGAGGAGTCCCCAGCTTAGTTAGCGATGCTAGCACAAAGAATCCGAACACCGAGGAGTCCCCAGCGTAGCTAACGATGAAGAACATGCGATGAGCAGTCCAACCAACTGGTCAGCGGCGAAGTGAACGCTGAGCAGGAGTGAGTACTAAGCAGTCCGACCAGTTGGTTGGCGATGAAGTCCGTCCGATAGGTGGTCCGACCACCCAGACGATGATCATCTTGTCTAGTCCCTGAGCATAAGCTCGTTGATCGAACCACACCCCTGTGAAACAAATGTGTAGAATGGGTAGTACATGATGTAAAAATAAAATATATGAACTTCGGAGAAGAATCAGCATTGGTGATGACATAGAGTATGCAGCTCGGTGATCAGTTGGTGTGAACACTTAGTGTTATTCTAAAGATGTGTTTATATTTAATATAAACCGTCCGACCAGTTAGTGTGTATCTATGTCTCCAGCCCTAGCTAGCCTGTTAACCATAACGTGGAGCGCGGAGCACGTGTGCATGTAGGAAGAGCAGGGCATAGCTAAGGAGCCACTGCTGACCACCCCTAACGTAGAGGCTAGGAGCTCATGCACGTGTAGGGAGAAGCCAGAGACAGGGCCGTCTCTAGGAACATCCAAGCATCAACATGACTATTCGGGGATTTGCCTTAGGATTAGCCGTATGTCATCTTTAAGATGGTATACATGAAAGAAAAATCATTTGGAGACAAACATGGAGAAAATAGCTCGGAGAAACATCATGGAAATATATGAAGGTTGGGGAATATTTAGAAAAATATTAAAGTGTGACTTAGCTTTAGACAGAACATCTGGTCAGCGGTGTATGGCGTTATCTGGTCAGCGAATTTGTCCCTCTGATGGATGGTGGTCGTATCCCCTGGAGTTTCCCGTTCGGCATCCGATAGATCAGAACCAGAAGGTGGTCGACGCTGAACCAGAGTTGTCAGAGCTAATTCCGTGAGGGAGAGGCAGTCGGTGAGCTTCTGGCTGA